TGCTGGCCACACCACTCCTGAGACAAGCCAGGATGCCGCTGGCCCTCTTGGCCACCTGGGCACCCTGCTGGCTCCTATCCAGCCCCCTGGCGACCAACCCCCCCAGGGCCTTTTCCGCCGGGCAGCTTTCCAGCCCCTCTGCCCCACGCCTGGAGCGCTGCCTGGGGTTGTGGTGACCCCAGGGCAGGACCCGGCCCTTGGCCTTGTTGACCCTCACCCAACTGGGCTGGGCCCATGGATCCAGCCTGGCCGGGTCCCCCTGCAGAGCCCTCCTCCCCCCAGCAGACCCACACTCCCGCCCAGCTCGGTGCCATCTGCAAACGGGCTGGGGGTGCCCTCGATCCCCTCGCCCAGGTCATGGATAAAGATGTTAAACAAGACTGGCCCTAGAACTGAGCCCTGGGGGACACCGCTTGTGCCCGGCCACCAACTGGATTTGACTCTGTTGACCACAACTCTCTGGGCTTGGCCATCCAGGCAGTTTTTTACCCAGCATTTCCCTCACATACCATCCCCCATGGCCATGACAGGCTACCCCTCACCTTGGCTGATGATCCCCAAATCAGCCCAAACTCTCCACCTGATAAGGGGTGGGTTGGGAGGGCAGGATCCAGCCTTCCAAGAGCTGGTGCGTGCATTCATCCGTGTCAGTGTGGGTTTGCCCCATTAGTGGTTGCTCCCCATCCTAGAATTTGTGATAGTCGCCTTCTATAAATCAAAGAAAGAACGAATATATCCCATTGCCCCCAGATTCTTTGCCTGGAGAGTCAAAGGCATTGCAGATGAAACTTAGAATATGGAGAGCATAGCAAAAACCTGACCTGACCACGGCATTTTGTGGGGAAAAAAGTAAAAACCTCTCTGCCCATCGTGTAAGAATCAAGCACTGCAGGTGGAGCAGCCGGTGCAGGGGCACCGCTCTCCGACCCAGCCCCTTAACTGGGACCCGGCACCGATTTCCTCTTCCCACGGGTGCATTTGTGCGGTGCAGTCGGTTACGGAGGGGGCCGCCCCTGCCGTTAGCGCAGCTGATGGACAGACAGACAGCGGACAAGCCTGGTTTAACACGAGCCTTTTCTTCCCATCTTTGGAACAGGTAAAACCGAGCTGGCCAAGCAGACAGCCAAGTACATCCACAAGGATGTCAAAAAGGTGAGGCCGCTTCCCTTCGCTTTGTCTTTTGCCATCCGGGCGCCTTTAGTAATGGGGTGGGTTTGGTCGCTGGGCGGCAGGATCGGGGTCTGGCTTTGCTAGGCTGGGAGTCCGGCTCGCCGGTCCACCCGGCTGCGTCACGGCGCCCTGAGTTCATCCACGGAAGAGAAATGCGGGGTCTGCGCGCAGCGGGCAGGGGCTTCTGCCGCGTTCAAAGGAACGGCGGAGGCCCCTGTCGATGGTACCGGTGCGCTTGAATTGTAAAAACCTAACTGGGTTTAAGCAATAGGCTCCCTGTTGGACGTCGCTGTCCTTTTGATCCCGCGTTGTGAGCATTTTGGGGGGTGTTTTTTTGCCAAATAAGGCTGTAAATTGTTCGATTAAACACCGACAACGCATTTTACCTGCCCCCAGCTGCTCCACTTGTCGTGCTGTACCGGTACGGACAGCGGAGCTGGCCACATTGGTTTCGTGCTCGGGTTCTCAGCGCCGAACCGTTCGGGACCCAAGCTCTTTGCTTGGTTTGGTTTGTTACCTGCTGGCTGCAGCTCAGCAGGGGGAGAGTTCGGGGGTGTCTTAAGACTTCTAAAACACCAAACGTCTGAAGCCGGGCGCCCCAATTCACCTTTAAGCCTCCGCGTGCCTTTGGGTCGTGCCCATCTCTCTCCCACGGAGGGCTGGGGAAGGTGCGGAGGTTCGGAGCCGGGGCAAGGGCCCACGCTGGATTAATTCCTCCCCCCCCATCCTCCAGCAGAGAATGGACACAAGATAAAACGGCATGTGTGGGAGGAAGATCAAAGGAGAACACCGCTATAAAACATGGCCACTCTGGTTTATTTTCCGCTGTAATTGCCTTCCAGAGGCAATAAATCCCGGCTCCTGGGTCTCGAGCACCTTCACCCCCGGCTCCCACTCCTGGAACTGGTCAATGCCCGCCCAAACACCAAATGCAGAAATCAGTTAACGCTGAGTGTGGTGTTCAGTCAAGAGCGTGCACCAAGCGGGGTCTGATCAGTAATGAATCGGCTCGGCCAACAGTGCTGGAACGAGCCCGGTGAGGGGGGGCCTAAACCCCCTGGGCAGTTATCATAGAATCACAGAATCATAGAATCATGGAATGTTTTGAGTGGGAAGGGACCCCCAGAGGTCACCCAGCCCAACCCCCCTGCAGGAGCAGGGACACCTTGAACCACATCAGGTTGCTCACAGCCCCG